TAGACCTACTTGTACTTTTTCCCCCAGCTCTGTTTCTGTCAAAGAATCTTTCAAAGAGAGCCAAGTGATTTAGTAAACATCATAGAAAATGAAAGTGAAATTCATGTTAACTTTTCATATTGGCATGAACTAATAGGTATTGAGTTTTTGCCACTTTTGGTCCCTTGACTATTGTGTCACTGACACTGTTGGTACTTAACTTTTAATTTTTTCATTTTTAGTCCTCGACTATTGTGTGAGAGACACTTTTAGTTCTCGACTTCCAAGTTTTCCACATTTAGTCCCTTGAGTATTATCCAATTGACACTTCTAGTCCTTCCCCTATGATTTTGACCTAGAAGTGGAGGACCAAAAATGTCACTATTATAATACTTTTTTCTAAAGAGATTATAGTACTTGAAGGACCATAAGTGTCACTTTTATTTAAGTCGAAGGACTAAATATGGAAATTTTCAAAGACGGATACCAAAAGCGTCTGAAGGACTAAAAGTGAAAAAAATTCAAAGTCGAGCATCAAAAGTGTCAGTGACATAATAGTCAGAGGACTAAAAGTGGCTCAACACGTATTTATGTTTGAATTATTTGTTCCCTATGTTTCCATATATCTATCGTTTGAGTCTGTTTCACGCCAATTAAGGAACTCATTTTATAGTATTAGTTACGAGCATAACATAATCACCTCACCCTTAAACAACAAATTAACAATAAATGAGATCTATCACAAAGCTTAATTAGAAGGTCTAAGTATGATAAAAGATTAAAAGTGCTTCGTTTTTAATTCCTCTTGAAAAAAAGGGACATATTTTGAAACATTTTTTTTGTTCAGTGACAATTATCTTATAATGGAGGGAGAAATTTGTTTGTCTCCAAATTACATGGCAGTCAAATTTATTATCCAGGCAGAGATTCAAAATGGATAAGAGCTACCATGTTATACTAATTCATCATTTATTTCTGCAAAGTAAGTTGCTATGGCTATTTTTCTTAGTGCAGATCAAAAAAGCAAAGTTTGTTGATGATACCTTCTCAGTCAGTGTTAGTAAATCTGCCAATGAAGTTGTGGCAACCTACACAAAGGATGAAACAGGAATGGATCTTGTAATTCGGCTTCCTGCATCTTATCCATTGCGATCAGTTGATGTAGACTGCACCAGGAGCCTTGGTATTAGTGAAGTGAAGAAAAGAAAATGGTTAATGTCAATGATGTCATTTGTTCGTAATCAGGTATTGTCCTCTTCACTTTACTCGCATTTCTTTTTTGCAATTACCTCCTCAACTTCCTCCACCTTATCTTTTGTCTCACAAGTTGGGCTGTGCAAGAATATATTTTTGCGCAATTACATTTTCTATTCCCTAACTTGTTTGGCTAATTTGAGTAATTTCCCTGAAGGGACTGGAATTGGTGAGGTGTTTTGGTTTTCAAAACATTAATTTAAGTAAAACTAATGCTGCAAGTGGAAAGAGCTCACATGGAGATGTCTTGTTATGTTTGGACCCAAATCCGGAATATCAACCAAAGCTTTTCCCCTTTCAGCCATTTGAACAAAAGACATATTTAAAAATGATGTTAATTTAAGACATTGTATAATGTGGATTACCCCCTCCATAGCAAGCAGTCATGTTTCATGAGTTTTCATTTTTTTCAAAAGCAAATTCAGGATTTTAAGGGCAAATTTGATTGTTAAGTGAAGTGTGCAAAACCAAGCAGCAAGCGGTTTTAGTCATTTACTGTAAATAATCCTGGAAATAAGTTTTAGGGTTAATTATCAGTGACTATTCATAATGTGTAAACGCTCTTGCCTTGATTAAGTTCATTAAAATAGTGTCTTACCTTAAAAGGGATTTTTTCAAAACACAATTTTGAAGTTGCAGCATTTCAAAACAAAAAAGTACTCCGTACATTTTAAGAGCTCTTAAGTTGAGGCCTTGCTTTTCCTGCACAAAATATTTTAAAATCACTCACCCTAAATTTACAGCTAGTAAATTTCTGAGATGTCCTTGCGCCTAGAGAGGCATATAATTGTGTTGCCTATAGTTCACAAGTGTAAACTAACTTATGAAGAGTGAATGACAACTGATGTTTGTTTGTTGTTTTGTATACACTACAAAAGAATGGAGCCTTGGCGGAAGCAATACAAATATGGAAAAGCAATTTCGACAAGGAGTTTGAAGGGGTTGAAGAATGCCCTATATGTTACAGTGTCATCCATACGTCCAACCATAGTCTTCCACGTCTGGCATGCAAGACATGCAAGCACAAGTTTCACTCAGCTTGCCTCTATAAGTGGTTCTCCACTTCTCACAAGTCAACTTGCCCCTTGTGCCAATCACCATTCTGATGATCTTTTCTCTTCTTCTAAAGGGGAAGAGAGAGCCGCCCGTCCTTTGTCAGGATGGTTCCTAACTGAATTTCAGCCATGACCGTGTTTAACCTTATTGACGTGTTAGGGTTGCTTGCAAGGCAGAGTAACGTGGCTTCGCAGTTTTGACGATTAACTCCTTGACTCCTTGTATCTTTACAATAATAACTAGATTGTATTAGAAAACTGTCAATGTTGTCTTCCAAGTCACCTCATTTTTGGGTACATGAAAGCGAAAACAGTCATATTGAATATTGATGAGTATGCAGTATCATTTTTATACAATCTAAAGGAATGAATATGCACTAATAGGCACACTGTATTTACATTTGTTTATAGTACATTGGATTTGTGAGGGTAGAGATAAATGACGAATATGAATATGCACTTTAAGTCTTTAAGATGGATGGAATAATCAATAGAACAAAACGAAGCAAATGACATTGTATGGATTATATACCACACATCCACAACGCTCTCCAATCAAACCCTAACCGTGTGACGGTGTGAGTCGGTGTGACATCAGGATGAACATGAGTTCAGTTCTTAACAAGAACCTTTTATTTAACTTTCTGAAATGCTCTTTTCAATGAGTAAATATTACTGTAGAATAAAGTGTTTTAATGGAGTGTTATTCAATTGAGGAGGAAGACTTTATTTAAAGATGCTCTAAAACGCAAACAAGAAATTCTTTACGGGACAAAAGAATGTTATAAGACCAAAGAAATTGTAATTAATACATACACATATAATTATATTATATGTGTGTGTGTGAATACATATAGATGTAAAACAATATTAGAAATATGTATGAATTTTTTATATATATTCGGGAGGGTGGGGTGGGGTGACATGAGGCAATACTAGTATGTTAATATCTGGAACCGCCCAAGCATGGGTACAAGGTGGGCTAGACAGTTGGACCCACCCATTTGAATGACAGGTTCTGTCACACGTAGGGCTGAGCATAATCCGGTCCGGACTAGAAAATCGGACCGAACCGGTCGGTCTAGACCGGGCCTGGACCGGATAGATACCGGTCCGGTCTTCGGTCCAAGGTATTTAGTGATTCCGGTTCCGGTCCGGTCCAGTCCAAAACCCAGAATATTCCGGTCCGGACCGGTTAGACCGGAATTAAATTATTATATATATATAAATCTATATTTAATTTATATATATTTATATTTATATTTAGTTTATATTTATATTTATATACTCCGTATGTATTAAAAATGTACACACAAATACATACATAGTACATTAATTAAGTTACTTAAAAACAATTACATTCATTAAATGATACAATAACTTATACATTAACTCAAGTTACATACATAAAATTATTTACACATTTATACTAGGAAAATTATGTAGCATAAAAACATTATGAGTTAGAATGAGGCATTGTATTTACTTAATTTTACTTGTTTTAACCATAATATATAGTTTGATTAATTAAATTCTTCTTTGTTAAATAAGCAAAGCTATTGAGTCAAATCATTCACTAAATTAATCGAGCAAGGAACATTAATTTCCCGCACTAATATGAATATATGATCATGCCTAAAATCTAGAGTCAAAACTGAATCATGTATTTTTCATATTTCGACTAGGCATAGTTCATGTGTTTATTTCTACTTATTTGAAGTATTATAATGTATATTATATTGATTAAAAGAGACATAAAAATGCAAACCATTCATATAAAAGAATAAATAGAAATAATCACATTTAAAACATCATAAATAATACTCCGTAATAGAAACAACGAGGTAATAGGTAAATTTTTGGACAATCAAAACTATTTAAAAAAAAAGATGAAACGTTATTTAAAAAAAATTAAAATTCCGGTCCAATACCGGTCCGGACCGGAAAAACCAGAATAATCCGGTCCGGTTGTGGACCGGAATTATATGGGTCCGGTCTTCGGTCCACTTTTTTTTAGAATTCCGGTTCCGGTTCCGGTCCGGTCCGGTCTTGGACCTATGCTCAGCCCTACTCACAAGTCTCAGGGCAGGACGAGTCTCAGATGTTTTCATTTGAACTGAAATTTTCTGATTTGGTCTTATCTGATCTATTTAAGTCTGGTTTGGTTTAGTCTAATAGATGATTGGTTTTTGTATATTTTATAACTATCAAAGTCTGGTTTGGTCTGATTTAGTGTGTTAAGGCATGATCTAGTATAATTCGATCTGTTTAAGTTTAATCTGATTTGATATAAGACTGAAATCAGTCGTTACTCGTCCATTTTTACCCAGGTCTAAATTTTGTAAAGACTGAAATAATCTGATCTAAGATGTTTTCATTTGGATTGAAACTTTCCGACTTGGTCTTATCTGATCTATTCAAGTCTGATTTGGTGTAGTCTAGTAGATATTTGGTTTTTGTGTATTTTATAACTATCGAAGTCCGGGCTAGTCCGGTTTAGTGTGTTAAGGCATGATCTAGTATAATTCGATTTGTTTAAGTTTAATCTCGATATAAGACTGAAATAAGTCGTTACTCGTCCATTTTTTAGCCAAGTCTAATTTTTTGTTTTTTGTTTTGTTTTGTTTTTACTTTTTAAGCCTCTAGCTTGCTCGAGTTATACTGCTTTTTGGTCCGTAAATAAATTTATGGCCCAATATATATTGATTGATTACGAGCCCAATTCGTATTGTGGCGGACGCACAGTAAGCTAGTCCACACTCAGAAGGCCGTCGAGTTGAGTAGCAGGGGAGGTAGCTGGCGATGAGGCTCACCGGCGACATACCGCCGAATCAAACGATATACATTAAGAACTTAAACGAGAAGGTCAAGAAGGAAGGTATTACACATATGCTGTACTATCTTCTCTACAGATTCGGCTTTAGGGTTATTGAGTTATTTCGAACTGCTATCCTCATCTCGAATTACTAGCTACTCTTAATTTACTCATGTAGTCGGTTGAACAACTAAAACTTAGCCAGTAACTTTTCTTAAGCATAGTGTCGGACTCTGTACTAGTGTAGGACATATGCGAACCTTTTGCATTTCATTCAATTGACTCTTTGGAACTCCAAGGATGGTAGGGGGAGGCGTCCTTGAATAGGCAAGTAGCCGGTGACGTTTGCTTTGATTACCCTATGCCCGAGGATGTTGAATGAGATTATGAGAAGTATTGCTTGTGACCTATTGGTGTGTAATTGTGTATGAACTTGAACTATAAAGGATTTGAAAGGAATCATATAACCTTAAAACTAGGGAATTGGAGTTGCTGTATATCCACCACAAAGGCACAAATCTTCAAAATTGCCTGTTTTCGTGCTTGGTTCATATCTTTACGCAAAACACTAATCAACAGTGATGGCTCTCTAACCCTAACTCATTGTATCCATACTCAGTATCAATTCAGACAATGTAGATTAGGTCATATTGCACAGGAGTGATGGTGGATTCAGGGCTGTTGCCAGGATCAAATACGGAGTAATAACAGATCAAATAGTACTTAGAATTAATAACAGAATTAAATACGGAGTAATAATTAGAAAACCATATCACCATTTTTTACTAATGTACTCATTCACTTCAATGACTTTCTTTAAAAAATAATAAATAGAGTAATAATTAATAAATTGAATGTAGAATAAGTCATTTACAAATTTCAGTTTATAATTTATATGCAGAATTGCACATTGTGGAAGAATTGAAGAAATCAAAATTTTAAATATAAGGAATAATACAATGCAAAATCTCAAATTTGAAGGATGGTCTTGTAGGATAGTAGGATAACCTAGTTGTTAATGTCTATCTCCTGGCAGAACTGCAGTCCACGAAAATCGGAACGACCTGATGGCTACTCAGCTACTCTCAATCTTATTTTCCTTCACATACTACATATTTTTAAAATGTTAATGAAGACTTCGTACTAGGCTAACTAGGATAATAGACTAGACTTTTTCAGTTTTTCTCCTAATTTTCTATTGGACCATCTGGACAGGCTCTCACGTGTGGACATGTTTATCTTTATCCACTTTGATTTAATTGTTTTAACTTTTGTCTACTGCTGGCCGCAAACTATATTCGTAGTGGGATGGCTATATATTAATGTATTAATATACTACATATATATAATAGTTGTTTTTTATTAAAAAAATGATGTCCCCAATGGAGGTGGTGGCCTAGCCCATTGGCTAGGCGCCTGCCATCCATGGCTAGCTCTGGTGGATTACTTGGGCCTGTATGAGTAAAAATATTAAATTATATGCCACAAATTTGAAATATTATTAGTTTATATATTAGGATATTACTAGCATAATTCAAAAAGCATTTGAACAAGATCCAATCATCTAATCAATCCAAATTTCCAACATATATCTATTAATCACCATTTGGTTCAAGACCAGTAATTCAACATCATCTTCATTATCCTACATGTCCACAATGGTATCTTTACTTCCCCTACTTCTCACTTGTTCATCCCCTCCCACATTTTGTAGAATGGTATTAAGAAGTCTACATGCAGGTTGTGACTTGTGATGCATTCTCTCTTATATTTTGATTACTTGCATTTACCCGTGCATCAACGGATTCTTGTGTTGCCCAATTGTGTTCCCAAGCACCATCATTATCCTGGTTGATAAGATCTTTAAAAAGCTCATCATTGGAACAACCCAATCATCATTTTTTTCCAACATCCCTTAAATATATTGGATCATAGTTCTAATTTCCATTGCTGTACTCTCTCCCCATGAATTGCTGCTCCAATTTCTTCTTAACGTTCCTTCTTTTTTCTTATTAGGATAAATTCCATTTTTTGTTTCATCCCACTGTAACCTAATCTTTAGTCTCAAACTCTCAATCTGTCTAATATGACAAAAAAACATTGTTGGTATGGTAAGTTTATTCGTTATGTAAAACAACTCACCAAGTGAAGTAAGGGCGATTAACTTGAGGTTTTGGACTGGAGTGGGTAGGGAATCTAGTGGGCATGGTATAGGACCATGTTTCAAGTATTCGGCGATTAAATAACATAACACTGACCAGATTATTCCAGCACCCTAACAATTTAGCTTTGGTGTATCAGTTTAGCTCAGTCTTGCGGTAGTACCTTATCTGCAGATACATGAAGCATGTATGTTTCTTGCTTGCTGTGTGATTAAGAACATTGTTCTACATTTTCTCATGAAGAAAAGTCATCATAGACTCATCAGTGGGTGGCCGTGTGCAAGTACTAACAACTTATGGTGGGTTTTGGGTTATAGGAATTTTGTTCCCGTAGTGATGGGTGATATAGCCAACTTTTACTGATGGTAGTTTGTTGTATGTAACGTGTGCAACATTTGGTGTTTTCTTTTGCACAATTAACAACAAGCCAGGGATACAAAATTTTACAACCACTACTGGGGTCAGTGGGTGAAGTAGAAATATGAAATATACTTCTATGTTTCTCAATTGGGTGTATAGTTATCATAATTCACAGTTCATATTGTTCGATTCACAAGCTTGTAGTCGTTTAAATGATATCGCATTATATCACGTCCCAATGTCACATAATCTAATCTTCTTATTTTCAGCATCCCATTATATGACATCACATTCTTTAATCTTCCTGTTTTGGTATCATTATAGGGCATCTCATTCTTTTATACCTTCATATATGTGACCCCCACCCTTGAGGCTCCCCCACAATTATTTTTGGTCTGTACAATCTGGGACTAATGCAATTTGATCATTTCTGGCAGAGTTGAAGAGGTCTCTTTATTGTTTATTCTCACAGTATGGCAGAATAGTGGACATTGTTGCTTTGAAAACAACTAAACTTAGAGGGCAGGCCTGGGTTGTCTTCAGCGAAGTTACAGCTGCTAGTAATGCAGTGAGACAGATGCAGAATTTCCCGTTTTATGAAAAACCAATGGTTAGTATATAGTTTAGTTATGCTTTTGTAAAGTATATTCTGTATCTTATAGATAATTATCAATAAGCTCAGAAGATGAAACTCCCTCTTTCCCGCAAAAGGGTTCCGTGTTTACTTTTTTGTCTGTCCCTAGATAAGATTTCCCTTTCCTTTGAAGGAAGGAGGAAGGAATCAACCACATAACTTGTTTCTTTTAAATATGTGTGCCAAGTCAAAGGAGGAACCTTTTCTAGGATGGAGGGAGTATATGGCCTTACACTTATTTGACTTTATGCAGCGGATACAATATGCAAAAACCAAGTCTGATTGCATTGCTAAAGCTGATGGTACTTATGACAAGAAAAAGAAGGATGATGAAAAAGGCAAGATATCAAATCTAGATTTGTTCACATCTAGCAAAACTAAATTTATTTCCATCCACAATCGAGTTTATGTTTCATGTCATGCCTGTTGGCTAACAGTGTTCCATTAGTGTGATTTTGTGTACACACATGCGCGCTCATATATGATACCCTATGTAGCACCGATACCGGTACGCGGAAACGCGGAAACGGGTACGGGGATACGTCAAAACCAAAAAAAGTAGGATACGGATACGGGGCCATATTTAAAAATATTAAAAGTTATGGGGGTGTATTTACAAATATTAAAAGTTATTGGGGTCTATTTATAAATATTAATTTTTTTTTGAATATATATATATATATACACACACACACATATAATATCCTATTATGTCTATCCATTCATTGCATTGAAGCATTTTCCTTTTTCAAGATACTTAGTAATAAATTCATAATATTTCTCATATACACTAGTGTATCTCGAAATATAAATGTAGTCAATGAGTCATTAATTTAAAATGAGAAATAAGTCAAACAACTACAATCTTGAAATTAAAAGTGCAAGTACCCACTTCGGAGTATGAGTTAATGACTTAATTCGGATATAGCCATATAGGCCCATTATTTGATTACCAAGTAAAATGTAGTTTTAGATTTTCATTTTTTTAGAATTTTATTAAGTAAATTTTGGGATTTTTTTTTTTAAAAAATGGTTGATACGGGTATCCGTCAGGATACGAGTATCGGAAACTTTCAAAAAATTACAAAAAAAAATGGAAACTTTTAAAAATTGCAGATACGGCCCGGGAACGTACGGTACGGGTATCCTAGAGTATCGGATACGGGAACGTATCCGATACGCCGATACGCTACCCTAGGGAAGTATCCGTGCTTCATAGATGATACCATTGTGTAATGGGTAAAATACGGTAAATCATATGATATGTAAAGCTAATGTGTAGTGCAACTTGAAATGAATTTTTTCTCAATTAATGAACTTTCCTGGCTCGGGACCTGATTTTGTTCAGGTTAAGACTTGTTTTTTACTCCTTTAGTACATATGTGAGTTAAAATTTACATGCATTAATGTTCAGCTGACAAGAAGAAACACACAGAAGAAGCAACTGGTGCAGCTAATGGCCCAAGAGGTGCAAATGGAGGCCCAACAGTAAGATATTGTGATTCCATTTTTACTTGATTCATATTGATGCTATTATATTGTTAAAGCCCAGTTGGTAACACTGACTTTTCTTAAATTGCGTAATTTTAGTTGTAATGGCTGAATTTCTCAATTTGCTAAGCCATAGGGGGATTCAAATATACACACTTGATATAATAAAAAAACAATATATGAAAACAAAGATACAACTGCCAAAAATGTACATTTGCACTACTATTTATTATTATAGACCAATCAATCCACATAGTAAAACAAATCTAGTACAACAACATCCAAGCCTTAGTCCCAAAAGATTTTGGGGTCGGCTAACATAAAAAGATAAAAAAAAAGCTATGATAAAAAAGATACGGAGTAAAACAAATCTAGTGCTCGGAAAAAATATGGCTGATAAGAAAATTATGACGCTAAGAAGCGGGATGTAATATCGGATTATTCTGTATTTTCTTTTAAAATTTTCAAACAAAAGCAATGTAAATCAAACTGAAGGAATTAATTTATGCAGACGGCTGCTGCTCGCCAAGGAAAGGCAGGAGGAACACAAGAAACAACAGAGCCAAACAATATACTATTCATACAGAATCTGCCTCATGAGACTACAAGCATGATGCTGGAAGTGCTGTTCAATCAGTACCCTGGGTTTAGGGAGGTCCGGATGATAGAAGCAAAGCCAGGGATTGCCTTCGTGGAATTTGAAGATGATGGTCAGTCTTCCGTTGCCATGCAGGCCCTTCAAGGCTTCAAAATTACACCGCAGAATCCCATGGCTGTCACCTATGCCAAGAAGTAGCGGCACTCCCCATCCACATCACACTAAGGTGTCATCACATGGTATTCAAGATTTTTGTGGTGGTCCTATGTTTAACTCTTGCTTCTCATATTCTGGGTTTCCCCATGTATGAAGCGTTTGATGCCCTGTAATATTTTGATTGATTGGTTTTCAATCTCAAGAGAAACATAAATGCGGAATCTGGTTACTTTTTTGGTGAAGTAAATTATATTCTAAATTCCTACCATGCATATGTTTACTGGGTGTCTTAAATCATTTGTCATCAAATCGTTTGAATTAAAAATGTTCCGAGACTACTATTATCTTCATCTGGTCATTGCTCATTGGATCATGCTGTACTCTCAGTGACAGAAAGGTTGGCATGTGCCTGATCTGAAGTTCTGAACCTGAGCAGTAGTGATGGACTGGTTCCGGACCGACCGACCGGTGGCCCGGCCCGGCAATGTTTGGAACCGACCCGGCCCGGTGGCCTGGGCCCTGGTGGCCCGGCCAGAGACCGGTCCGGGTTGGCCTGACCGGGAGTTTACATAGGGCTGGCTCGGGTCGCCAAAATAGGAACCGCCCGGGTCGGGCCGGGGCCGGGCCCCGGTCGGGCCTTTTTTGTTTTTTTAATTTTTTTTTTTTGTTTTTCTTGGGTTGGTCTGGGTGTTTTGGTGGGGTTTGGGGGGTGGGGGGGGGGGTTGGGGGTTAATTAGAAAAGAAAAAAAAACAACCGGCCCGGCCCAGAACCGGTGGAAAACCAGCCTGGACCCGGTGGATTACTAGGCCGGTTCTGGGCCTCAACTTTCCCCAAAAAAGCCCGCTCAGGCTCGGTCCATGCCTATTGAGCAGGCTTAGACGAGAGTAAAGTAACTAGAATGAAGAACTATGTGTATCTTGGCATCATCAAAGACTAACTGAGAAGGTTGGCATGTGCCTGAAATATGGATCAGGTATTGAACGTACGTAAAAGATGGATCATGGATGGATTGACATCCTAGTGTGATGAGGCGGGGGTGGCGACATGCTGTTAGCATTGGCAGTAATATGGATGATGATTAGTGTGGAAATAGCAATAATTAGCACACCTGCCCGGCCTAAAGTTGACTTTTTCTATAACATCACAACGACTTTTCATTAATATAGAGTAAATACGCAAGACAAAATCCAGACAACTATTAGAGATTCGATCGTAAGCCTTAGGAATAGACTTAGAGGGAGTCAGCCACCCATACAAAGCAACCTGACTCGCTAGACACAAAACGAGCAAGAAGAAGCCTAAAACGATCGAAAATGCAGTACTGTCTATCAAAAGTTCTTCAAAAATCAAAATACTCCAACCACACCTGTTTGAACTGAAATAAAAATAAGTACTATGAAAGGAAAAATAAAAAGAAAATAAAAACTTTCCGCAAATTGCTTCCCCGCATGGAAGTAGTTCCGGAGGAGGCGAGCTGCTGTAGTATGGTAGAAAAGAATTTCAACCCCAGGAAATCCGTTTGAAACACTATTCTTCTTGCACTCGCCAATTTGCTCCCGTCAATTTGCTCCTTGAGATTTACCATTAAAATCCATGTCCGAAATGCAAAAGAAAACTTTATCATGTTGCTTTGTGTTTCTTGGCCCACAAAAATCCAAGCCGCACCCCACCGGCCACTGCCCTTGCGCACTCACGTTCCGAAACTCTAAAGAGGAAAGTCGCACGAAACTCTCGTTCCACGAAAAATCGAGCCGCACGAATGAAACTCGATCAGCGGTAATAAAAAACCCTAACAAAGTGTAGGGAAGACTGCTGCTCCTCGATAGAATCGATAGCAGAGAAGAAAATCCTAGCGACGGACTAGAGAGAAGGTCTCAATAAACACATTACCGAAGGCGTGATTGATGAAGATGATTAAAGTTGAGTTTAATACGTCAAATTTGCCGCATTAGTTTTTGTGGGTTAAAATATATATGTCATCCCCCAATGTTATAATTAGAATTAATTCCACTTTTGGTCCTATGAGTTTTGTGCTAATTCCACCTTTAGTCCACGTCTTTCACTTTATCCACTTTTGGTACTTGACTAATGTTTTTAACCATTTGTGGTCCTTTTCCGGGGATTTTAACCATCGTAAAAAATGCCGGAAGAATCATATATTGGCGAAAACACAATAGTCATGTACCAAAAGTGGACAAAGTGAAAGATGTGGACTAAATATGGAAATCACCTCAAACTCGTAGGACCAAAAGTGGAATTTATTCTTATAATTATTCATGTGCAAAATCCCTCCATAAACAAATTTAAGTAATGCAGGTAATGTTTTTACTAAAGGGCCTAAACGTATCACGGTATCACTATCATTTGGAGGCCCTTCCTTTAAATGGGTCTTTCTGCGCCTCCGCGTGCTGCACATGGGTTGGGCTAGATTGGTAATGACAAGTCATTTTAAATTGTGAATAATGAATTCCATCATTTTAAGTCATTTTCCACATTGTGTACTTAGATGCTTAAATTAAAACTCACATATGCTTAAATTGGTATTGGAAGATTTTATGCAAAAACTATGTAGGGTATTATATCCTCTCAAATTTAGGGGTGTGCACCGGTCCAAAACCGGACCGGACCGGGCCGGAACCGGTTAGGACCGGAACCGGAATCATCAATTTACTTGGACCGAAGACCGGACTTACCGGTCCGGTCCGGTTTTGACCCTAATCGACCCGGTATTTTAAAAATGCATATTATCTAAAGCGTTGTTTGAAACTTTAATCTTTTGTGCTAAATAGACTAAATAGCTTTTTAACTCATTTATGAAGGTAACAATTAATTTCCCAAATTAAATTAGTTTAAAAACTACAATCTTTCATGTATATTAAAATGCAGAATGTGAGTAACTTAGTAAAAACTACAATCTTTCATGTTCAACATTATATTAACTACTGCGTACATCCGTAGTACACGCTTGCAGAGAATGGAAAAAAATGAAAAGCAATACAGTAAGCATTTAGCCTTTTAAAAAGAAAGCATTGTGTAGATTACCAATTCCATTAATGTAAAATACGAAGTATATACTCCGTACTTCTCACACACACACAGAATCACATATATATACTATCGTATAATACTTCGGAGAAAGAAAATGTATGTTGTAAAACGTAAGGACTAATGATACAGAAAAAGGCAAAAAATTTACGCGAGTATAATTTAACAGGTCACCGGTCCGGACCTGTTTTTTCCGAGTTTGACCTGGATCGGACCGGAACCTGGAATCCTGAAAATCTTAGGACCGAAACCCGGGCCCATTAATACCGGTCCGGTCCGGACCGGTCTGGTTCACGTCCAAATTGCGGTCTGACCTGGTTAATGCACACCCCTACTCAAATTCGTTGTCTATGTTTATCTGAGCTCTAAGAAGTGTCACATTTTAATGAGTAAAAAAGTACTTCGTATTAACTATGCCATTTTTTATAGCTTGTAAAACTGTAAAAGGATGTGAACATGGTCAATGAACACAGTGTCAGTTTCATACTTTCATGACACTTAAATCAAGAACAAAATGAGACGTTTTATTCCATATTTTTTATTACCTCCGTCCCTGTGGATGTTGACTTCTAATTTGGAGGGAAATAAGAAAAATAAAAGTTGTATGATTGATATTTGTGTAGAGAAGAAAGAAATTAACAGAACAACAAATTAGTTGTTTTAACGAGAAAGTGACAAAGTTTTTCGGACAATAAAAAAAGGAAAATTGAAGCCGGAACCACAAATTGTATTGTATGATTGTGGTTGATATGAATAAGGTAAATGAATATTAGTCACATAAAACTTTTCAAAAAGCGAAATGAGAAGAATTTTTTAGACATCCTAATCGGTAAATGAGAAGAATTGTTTAGACATCTTAAATTTGTAAATGAGAAGAATTTTATGGGACGAAGAAAATATACTCCCTCCGTATTTAAAAGTTCTCTACACTTTCCTTTTTGGATGTATTTAAAAGTTCTTAACACTTCCATTTATGGTAAGTTTATCCTTTATAATACTCAATTACCCTTAATTTATCTACTTTTTATCTTCTCTTTCATACTTTTACATAGACTCCCTCTTTTTTCTACACTATTACTACCCTTACTATTCTATCCTAAAATATTGTGCCAAAAGCAAATGTAGGGAACATATAAATACGAAGGGAGTATAAACAAAAATGGAACCAAGACCAAATGAGGGACCATAATAGGAAGCATATATGATACATCTGGTTGTACGGCTGGCAAGTACAGCTGGTGGCAATTTTGTAATTTTAATGAAAATCATGGTTTCTCCTAAATGAGCATTTATGAAATTCAAAAAAAAAAGAGCATTTATGAAATTCTGATGAGCATTGAATCTGTTCTTTTGAGTATTAAGAGTCTAACAATGAGCACCGGTGATCTTTGCTTCATATTTTCTAATTCAATTTCATTATTATTTTTTCGTTTATAAAAAATTCCTAAATTATGTTAATAATCAATTTCAATTTATTTCAATATGTGAATCTAATGTAGTATGAGATGTTAGAAATGTGAAACATTTTTAAATGAACACAAAGCAATACCAAATGAGCATACATAACTTATAAAATGAGTATCAAAAAATCAAAATCTCATTTGTTACTCATTTGAGTTTAATGTAAAACTCATTTTCAATGTGCTCAATATAAGTTTGTGTGTTTTCATTTCTTTTAGGCGTATACTCATTTGAGCTTAATATAAAACTCATTTGAGATCAATAGCAACAAGGATTCCTCAGCAACGAATTTGACTCCCCTTGTAGGTTTCCCAAAATGACAAGCTCAAACAGCAAAACTGTGTCAGAAAAGGAGAAAAAAAAGTGGAAAGAAAGACAGAGGAGGAGAGGTAACCAACTAACCACGCCGGGGCCGCTGCGTTTGTGCCGGAGAGGAAGGGGTGAGTGGTGAGAGGTGGCTGTGAGCAGTGAGTTGAAGGAGAAAGGGGTGAACGTCGATGACAATGTGTCTGGTGCGAAATAAGATCAAAGAAGCAAGCGAAATCAGAGAAGTCTGGTGCGAAGCCGAAGTGTAAAAGTCTGATGCGAAGGGCCAGGTACGTGCGAAGGCCGATTTGAAGAAGCGCAGTAACCAAGAAAAGTCCGACTACACCGTGCGCAAGTACAATCGACTGTAGGGTATTTTATGCGGGAACAAATCCATAATAGAAATGGAGGACTCCCTCTTGAGCCTCCATAATTTCTTCAAAATTTCGACCGTCTTGAGCCTCCATAACGGCTACTTTTGCTTTGGCGCGAATGAACTTCCATTTTTCAGCACGGATTTACTCCGACTATGAAATTATATTATGGAGTATTGTTATTCATCATCAACGCCTTTCAGTCTTCTCTCCCGATCTGATCCTTCTTCATCGCCATCCTCCCAGGCGTCAAGATTTCCTCACTTTCGCGCCATTTTCATCTTCCCATGGACACGGCCGTAGCGAAGCCGAACCGCATGGGGAATATTCTGGTCAAAACCCTCTCCTTCGGCGTCCTCGTCTTCCTCGCCCGCTTCGCTTACTTCATCACCACTACAGGCAACACTTACGACTCCCGTGCAGTCACTGACGCGATCAATACCGCCGCCGCCGTCCGTCTCCGGGACTTCTACTCTTCCCTCTTCCACGATCTCATCGCCGAGGGATTCCTCTCCCTCAATTCCAGAACTCTCTGCATCGGAACCCTAACCGGTGAAGACGTCGCCACATTGCGAGAAATCGGGGTCGCCGATTCAATCGGAATCGCCGCGAAATCATCTCCGCCGTTAGTTCGGCACGGTCATGGCTCTCGGATTCCGTTCAAAGACGAAGCGTTTGACTTCATATTTTCCGGCAATATGGATCTGGAGCGTTCGGATAGACCGATCGAGTTCGCGAAGGAAGTTTCCAGAACCCTAAAACCGGGAGGATTCTTCGTGGTCCTTACATCAGGAACAGATCTGTACAGTCTGAACTCCCTTCTCGCGTTATTCAATTCCTGCAGAGCAATTCGAACCAGTGAAATTGATGGAATTGATTTCCCATCTCAAAACATTCGCGAAGTCGTGTTGATGAAAGACAATTCTATTCCTGATGATTATGTTGATGCGAGGAGTAAACAAGCTTCCAAATGCTCTGCTCCAGGATTCATGCATGAATTGATAAGAAAAGCAGAACCACTGATTGCAGAAGAGCCATTGAAGCCCTGGGTAACTTTTAGAAGAAATTTAAAGAACATTACATATCTCTCTTCCATAGTAGATATCAGCTTCAAGCATACATACATATACATTGACGTTGGATCTAGGAACTATGCCTCCAGCATAGGGAATTGGTTTAAAAAGCATTATCCAAAACAGAACAAACCATTCCAGATCTATGCAATTGAAGCAGACAGCACATTCCACGATGAATACAGAACGAAGAAAGGGGTTACCCTTCTTCCTTACGCCGCATGGATTAGGAACGAGACCTTGTTCTTTGAGATAACCAGAGAACCAAACAAGAACATGGATAGATCCAGAGGAGGAATGGGGAGGATTCAAACAGTGCAATCTTCACTGGAATTCACAGGGAAGGCAGACAAGATCCAGGGATTTGATTTTGCGAAATGGTTGAAGGGTTTGGGGTTGAGGAACGATTATGTGGTGATGAAGATGGATGTGGAAGGGACGGAGTTTCATCTGATTCCGAGGATGATTGAGAGTGGGGTGATGTGTTTGGTGGATGAGCTGTTCCTGGAATGCCATTACAGTAGGTGGCAGAGGTGTTGCCCAGGTGTTAGAAGTCCAAAGTATCAAAAGACTTATGATCAATGCCTTGCTCTGTTTTCTTCTCTCAGAGAGAGGGGAGTTTTTGTGCACCAATGGTGGTGACTCTCTGGTAAACATCAATTTATATTTTTCTCCTTTGTACATAAAATATTCTTTCTTATTAATTCCTCAGTTTTTTAAACATAAATTTTGTTGCTCAGAAATAGTTCTGATCAAATAGTAAAAGGCATGGGCGGAGCTAGGGGTGGGCCAACCTAGGCCATGACCCACTCCAAATTTAAAAAATGGCTTAATTTTTAAGGTAAAATATTCTGTGTAAAATTTTTTCTAAAAATATTCTTTGTATCGGACCAGTCTGGCCCAGTGCCCTGGCTTCGCCCCGGTAAAAGGTATATAGCTGAACAACCATCATTACTGATTGTGAGTTTGTTGTGTGTTCCTTATTTGCATGTTTTTGCATAGTCACAACTAAGCCCAAAAATGGTCAAATTGAGATGGAGGAACAGCTATTTAAATGTTTGAGCTCATAGCCATTAAGCCATAAATATAAACTAAAGAGTCGATTGGAAACAAATCGTACCCCACAATTTAAGGGTAGTAACCGATGAGATTTAAAAGGTTTGCAGAAAGTTGACATGGGGGTTGTCAAAAGGAACAGATGGATTTTGGTCACATTTTGGAATAGACCAAGGAGGTGGATTTGATAATAATGGGGTGCAATCAAATGACATACGCCACAATGCCAGATGAACGAGGACTATACGTAGCATACACGAGGACAATTTAAGGGTAGTAACCGATTGCTCTTAATGTACATACCGAGACGTTCATACACGTGTTTGCGTGCATGAACATTTTCAATTTTTTAGACAAATTGAAGTACACCGGTAAAAATTGAAGTACATCTTTGCGTGCATAGGAGTACATTTTTGAATCATTCTTGTTCTACACACTCCTATACCCACCTTATACTCATTATGTCTATGAACGGAATTTACAAACAAGCAAAAAAATCTTGCACAAACATGGTGGGTAAAAAAATGCTATAAGGGTGGGTACAAACAACTTTTTTGTACATTTTTAGACAAATTGAAGTACACCGGTAAAATATAGTGTGCATACTAAATATGTCCAAATGACTTGTACAAAAGAAATTTTCCTTCCATATACCGAGGCTTTAGCAAGGTCAGGTAGTCAACCGACCCCCTGAAAGTTTGAGAATATATATTTATGAAATACCTTTAATTTGATTGATATATTAAGCCTCTCATAGTTCATTACGAGTAAAAAATTATTATTACTTCTGAAAAAACAACATTATCTAAACCCAATATTAGTAAATTTTGATGCGTAATATTGATTATATTCTTAAAATTTAAAAATAGCGTATGATTTACTCATTACTTAAGTGTCATAGATATATCCAAGATAACCTATCTTATATAGCTATGAGTACTACTTGTTGGAAATATGCCCTAGGACAATCATAGTTTATGATTTATCAATAAATATTTAATGCTCATTAATTAATAAAGTCACAAACTCATTTTATGTTAATTATTATTGTGAGTTTTCTTTATTAATATTTAGTCCCTGAATATTCTGTTTAGTAGCTAATTAAGTATGTGACTTAATTGTGGAATGCTACACTTTAAAGTAAACATAATATTCTAATTGTCCCTGGTCTAATATTATTAATTTGGGACATTAATAATTAATAGACCAGTATGTGGATTAACTGATGGCTATATTCCACTAGTCATGGGTATAGAGATATCAAGTTAATAACATAGATGCTTGTTAGGGAACAAGTTCATTGGACAGACCCAACTTGAGGACACTGCTAGGTTATATGTCATCAGTGTTGTCCTCAATAATGATGAGGTGCTATATTCTTATACTTAAGATAATCATGGTTACTTGCATGAGAATTAATATGTATTAACACCATTAAATGTTATCTTTAATTGGGTAATTATAAAGGTGGTGATTGTACATATTATGAACCATGTAGTAGTATGTGAATTATCAAGATAGTTTTTGTCACTCTTGTATATCGAGAGAAAGATATCTATTGGGCCCCTTGACAAGTAAGATTAATTAGCATGGTCATGCACAAATGAGGTGTCATTTCATCAAGATTAATCTTACTTGGTAATCAAGAAATATTAATTGAGAATAACAAGGATGACATGACCTAACCTTGTCTCAATTAAGGTATCATTTGACAAAAGAGAATTATTAGCACAAATTAATCATTAAAAAGGTTATGTCAGATTTAATTGACATTTATATATTTTTGGATAGTCATAATGCCTTGCTAGAGACCGCTTATGATTTGTGAGGCTCGAATTAATTTCTAGCCCACTGCCAATAACATATAAACCTACAGGGTCACACACCTAAGTGATTTGGATCATTAATGTTTGTTAATAACATTAAAATAGCTTGATTAGCTCAATTCGAAAGAGGGTTTCGAATGGTATTGGGCTAGGGCCTCTTTAAGGGTTTTATTAGCCATAAAACCCCTTCTTTCCTCCTCTTATAAATAGGGCCATATAGATCCACGAATTTTAAGAGTTAAAATTCACTTCAAAAACCGAGAGGAAGAAAGAAGAGAACGCTAGCACGTTCCCTGCGGCCGATCCAGTCACATGCGTGTGGATACCGGTAGAGCTCGGGATCGTTTTCTCGGACTGTCTGACATCCTTGATTAAGATTGCTATGTAAGTCCCTCTTAAATCTCGTAATTTCGTTTATAGTAAGAACCTCAGATCCGTTTGTTTTACTTTTGGGTAGTAAGATTTTCGTTTATTCCGCTGCCCTTTTTCTGCCCGAAATCCAACACTACTCAATAGCCGATTCTTTTCTAGTAAGAAATCCCGACATTAAAAGGGGTGAGAGAAGAACTATAGAGTTCTAGGGTAGAGCAAAGCGTCTCATCTGAGACAACCACCAGTGCGGATACCCGTCGACTAAACCAGTATAAAACAAGTTTGCAATATATATGACTTATATATCAAATATATAACTCTATTAGTCTCATTTGAACTAGCATTTATCTAAACTACATTCAATTCATGTATCGTCTAAAAATGATCGACTTCCTTAGTTGTTTTTTTGGCTGCGCTCCTGTCCATATATATCACGGTTCACGGATGACGGATTGATGAACATGAAGGAGGTATAAAGTATAAGGGAAAATGCACATTTTATTTGATAAAAGAAACTAATTACATGAATTGGCCTAACCGACTCATATAGTGTTTTAGCCCTTTCAGAGCGACACAAGAGCATAACAATAACAATAACATATTTGAAATTATGTTGTTTGTGATTAAAAACATAAAATTTTGATAAAACAACCTCAACAATTGCAAAAATGCGTTTAATTATAGGAGTGTGAGATAAACACCTTAAACTTTCATACGTAATTTAAATACACCAAATTTTAAATAAAAAGTTTTTTTAACATCATGGTCATGCATTATTTTTTCAAAAATGTAAATTTATGGTGTCAATTGCATAGTTTAAACTTTAAAATAGCAAATTGAAAACGTTGAAATTGTATATAGTGGGGGGTAATACTATTTATTTTACAATGGAACTTTAGAATGTTAATTGTATTTTTATGAAGAAGAAATTCCACTTTTGATCCTACGAGGATCACACTTATTCCAAAATTGATCCACGTCTTTGACTTTGACCACGTTTGGTACATGACTATTGTATTTTTGCCCATATATGGTCCTTCTGCCAATAACGGTGGTTAAAATTGCCAGAAAAGGACAACCAATGGTCAAGAAACATTAGTCAAGTACCAAAAGTGAATAAAATGAAAGATGTAGACTAAATGTGGAAATGAAATAAAACTCGTAGGACCAAAAGTGGAATTAATTCTTTTTATGAATGCTATATAATTTCACATTATGAAATTAACACAAAAAATTAACATTTTTGAAAGAAATAACACATGACCAAGGTGCTAAAATAACTCTTTATATAAAGTTGGGATATTTAAATTACATAAGCAAGTTTGGGGTGCTTATCTCGCACCCCGGCCCATCAAAGTTTGGAGTATTTTAATTATTTTTCCCTTAATTATATCAAGTATCAACTAGTCTTTAACTCGTGCGTTGCACGGGATAATAGACTAATTATACAGTGTCTTGAAATTGCTGAAAATAAGATAAAAAATTAGATTTTTTAAAGATAAAACAACTTGTTTTATCTTTAAAGTAGGTGATAATTGAGTGGGATGCCAAACAGGTGGTTCAAGGTGTTTATTCAGTAGATGGCTTCTCCTATAAGTCTATAACGATGGAATTTTTGCTAGCATTAGACATTTGATGGCTGATTTTGCCGAAATAATTGTCCAGTTTGTGAATCGATCAACGAATCGGGTGCCTCATGCTTTAGCTAGGTTTGCCGTTTCTGCGTCTGATCATGTTTGGTTAAATTATCCGCCTGATTGTATTACTGAACTTTTGTTGAACGATATTCATTAATAAAATTGTTATTCCAATAAAAAAAAAACTTGTACATTAAAAAAACTTGTAAATAATCTGTTTCAAATAAAGTTCTCTTCTCTTTTATTTATGTGTACGTTAAGAAACCTTTAGAGAGAAGCACAAAAAAAGCATGCCATATATTGTGTTTTATCTCTTATTGTTATCATGGCCGTTTATTAGGAGGTTCAATGAGTAATCTAGAGCAGGGTCCCGAATTTATGGGGCCCCAAAATTTTAAATTTCTTTCAGTATTATATAGTACAGAGTAATATTATATATTAATACCAATCAGTAAAATATAGTTAGTAAGGAGAAAAATATAGATCTATCATTTTCTTGTTGGTCCTTTTACTCTTTTAGTTCTCTTTTAATGAGTATTCAATTGATTTGACTATAAGTACTTCGATTGATATTTTTTTAAAAAATTTTTATATTAATTTGGGGCCTCGATTTTACTTTTAGAACCGGGGCCTCCAAATTCATTATACGGTCCTGATTGTTATCACTAAGTTCTTTGGTAAATAGACCATAACAAAAACAACACCAACGTGTTCTTTAAGAAACAAAACTGGAATCTCAAACACAGTTATTTGGTAAA